AAGGGGTATTAGACCCCTTAACCAATGACAGTGTGCCATGATGTATCTCTTGCTCTGCTCCCCCATTTGTTGAAATATTTTTGACAGAAAAGTATTATCAGTTGATTGCTTTTTATGCCTTCCCCACAAAAAAGTAGGATGTTATTTCAAATCAAATTATAAAAATCATGAAAGTCCTTTTTTCTTTGCAGATTCTCATGAACACTAAGGAGCTTGTTCAAAAGGTTGGATACTCTTCTCAAATAATATAATTTGGCAAGAAAAATGAGGTGTTGAAGCTTTGTGATGGAATTTTCACTGACATATTTTCCACAAATCCACTTTCAGGTTATTTCATTATGATACTAGACATAAATTTTACCTCACTTTGATGTAGCTGGTAACGATCTTTCTGCAAGGAAATTTCCTGATTGAACTCTTCTTTTTCAGATGAATTTGGATGTGATATACGGAGATACAGATTCCATCATGATACACACCAACACCAATGACTTAGATCAAGTCATGAAAGTTGGTAACAAGGTAAATTATTTCACTTGATTAGAGAAAACTTTGCAACATTTGAATGGCTTTACCAATGAACCTTGGCAAGTGCTAAAATGAGAAAAGAAGCTTTAATACTGGGGTTGGACTCAAACCCAGGACCACCTGCACTCAAGTACCAGTGTCTTAATTTCTTGGTTGCTACGAGGAAGCAGGGCATAAGTCCCACCGAAGTACCTTTGTTTGTGAATTTTTATGTTACTAACCTTCAGAAAGCACTGACCTCATAATGTGGCCCAAAAGAGTTATATCAAACTTGTGATTGGACTTGTGTCTCTTTCTCAGCAGTGCATTTGTTTGAGACAGTTTCTTTTATTATACATAATATTCATAAGGTTTATTCCTGTTTGTCCCTAATTCAATTATTAGTTGTACTATAATGTATTTTTAGGGTCAAAAGTCATGATCACTGACATGGCATAGCATAAATCCAAGTTTCTTTCTTCACAAGGTTTTAAGAGACATGCACAGTTTTTTCTGCTGTTTTATTTTGAATCGTTCTGGCACATAAATTGTCATGTCTGTATTCACAAGTGTTATTTGACAGCAGTGCTATCCTTCATAAACAGTCCTATGTCTCACCCATATCTGTTTCTGTTGAACAGCATGCCTCCTGGAAAACTTTGAAAATCGCGGAATTTTATGCCCAGCCTTGAAAGTCCTGGAAAATGCTTAATTTTTAAAAAAGGTCCTGGAAATTCCAGTAAAATCAGTATTTCTTTTAAAATAAGACAAAAATGATGTAATGAACTGTATCAGAAAATTTACCACAGTCGAACCGTCCCCACGTACATTGTTGCTATTTCACGGTGCAATACAGTTGTATATTATTCACCATGCATTGTCTACACGACACACCTGCGCTGCATGCAGTGTTATGAGTGAAATCAATTTTGGATGGTGCCCACAATGTGATGCTTTCTATTTCACATGCTCGGGGCACAAAGGATATCATTACTAAACTTTCTTGTAGTCAAATTTTACCTTCATTTTGTAGCTCCATGGTGAACTGTCTGTTGTGGCTATAATTATGAAATCATTCTCTATTAAATATATGCACTTTATTTAATACATATTTGAATATTTCCAATCATTATAAGCCAATAAAGCTCAATGTAAAAGTAAAACTGTGTTGAACCTTTTTCCTTGACGTTGAATGGACTAGGGGAAGTTTATTTTTTTTATGATCGCCAGCTGTGTGTGGGCCTACCTCGTCCGATTGTCACTGTCAGAAAACTTGTCACGTCTTTGTCACTGCGCTGCTTGATGTCTATACATTATGTTGTAACTTCACGAGGGGAAGTTTATTTTTTTTTGTGATCGCCAGCTGTGTGTAGGCCTACCTCGTGGTCTGGTTGTCACTGTCAGAAAATATGTCACGTCTTTGTCGCTGCACTGCTCGATTTCTATACATTGTTATAACTTCACAATCTTCTATTGTATTGTATTGATTTATTATATTGCGTGTCCAACCTGGATTAAGTCCTGGAAAAATCAAACTGTTGACCTGGAAAATCACTGAAAAGTACTGGAATATTTTTTTCACAAGGATGTATTGAACCCTGGTTTAATGTTGGGTTTGATTGTCTCACTCTCTGAAGGTTAAAACCGAAGTGAATAAGTTATATCGCCTGGTGGAGATTGACATTGATGGTGTCTTCCAGTCGATGTTGCTTCTCAAGAAGAAAAAGTGAGTTGGATTCTCCATTTCAAAATCACCATTAAATTGAATCAAATTGGTAAATAAAAAAGGGTGTCAAAATAAGTTAACAAACCAGGATATTGCAATTTGTAGGCGTGTACTCATTGCTTGGATTCTTTCTGAGGGGGCTGAATTATCAAAGAAAACAGTGCAAACCTAGGTAAAGTTTTCTTATAAAACCTGCAATGTCATCGGCAACATCGGTCTCTAGCTACAGTTCTGTTCAACAAAAATAAGCAGAAAACCAAAAACTTATTCAAATCTTATTTATGGTTGGTTTGATTTAAATCGACATAAAATGGAACTCAATCTTTTTAGCATCAATAAATAGAACAGCTATGCAACGCTCTTCATGAAAATTTAATGTGGCAAACAATTTCTTACATGACCGAAATCACTAGCATTCTGGCCCCTCTCCTGACTACTCCCCTCTGATTAGAAGATCCTCCTTCACTGGCAGAGAAGAGACAGGCTGAAGGGGACAGTTTCAGTTGGTTGTAAGGGGCTCATTGGAGACCCATAACAGACACGCATGAATGCGTGCGCACATAGTATCTTCCCAGCGAAGGGACTTCACTTCTAAGTAAAATGACACCATCTTTTGTTCCTGCAATGAGAAGAAAATCAGTCTGAGTAGTGTGGCAGTACAATCAGTTTTAAGCATCAAAATGGGGCTAACTTTTTAGGACATATTTCCAATTGCTCCTTGATCAGGTATGCAGCACTTGCTGTGGAACGGCACTCGGACGGAACAATAACTACCAGTCAGGAACTGAAGGGTCTCGATATTGTACGTAGGGACTGGTGTGATCTGGCCAAGGAGGCAGGAAAGTAAGAGAGTTGGTTATTATTAAGTTTGTGTTGCATGTTGCCATCAGTTCTTGTTATGGTGCAGTTTTTCAGTCCTTGCAATGGTTGAACAGTGTGTCCATGATTAGTGCATATGCAAAGATTATTCTCAGGAAAGACTAGTTTCTGACCTCTGGATTAAGCCGGTGTAGAAACTTTGATCAACACTGATTTGATGGCTGATCCACTTCGGGCCCATAGAGACCTCTTAAAAACATATTTTACTTTTCTTGGAACAACAGTCAACATAAGTCTAGAAACCAAAAAATTATACAAATGTCCAAGTTTAAATGTTTTGGTTTTATTGAAATAAACACACTCCCCCAGAGATGAAATCTACATTTGCAATTCTGTAGATGGTAGAATTGTCCCATTTTTGTTTTACAGCTATGTGATTGGTCAGATCCTGTCAGCTGAACTTAGAGAGACCATCGTCGAAAACATCCATTCCAAATTGATTGAAGTTGGGGAGAAGGTTGCCAAGAATGAGCTCCCTCTCAAGATGTATGAAATTAGTAAGGTGAGGTACCTCGCAGGAGCTGAATATCACTGAGTTATGCAGACTTATCCTGGCCTAGGTTGATGGCTAGTGAGAGGGGTTGGCAGAGCAGGAGTTAATTGAAATGGAACGAGACAGATTGGGTTTTTGGGGGGTTGTTAAACTGCAGGAACTTCAGGGCTAACTTATGTGGGAAGATTTAGGGTTAGGCATAAGTTGTGGGCTGTGTTGGTTGGGTTGAGATTGCTTGGGTTAGGTTGAGTATTGAGGTTGAGTTTGGTTAGGTTGGTTCAGATTGGCACAGGTTGGGTTGAGTAAGTTTGGACTAGGTTGAGTTGCTTTGGGGTGAATTGGATTGACATTGTGGTTGAGCTGGGTCAGGTTTGAGTCAGTCTGGCTTCACTGATGATTTAGGTTGGTATGGTTTGTCACATTTCTTAAATTGTCTCTTTTCAGGTTGATTTAAATTTTGTGTTGTAAATCTTGACATGGACAAATTTTTTAATAGCAAGAAGCAGACTCGCTTTTCTGATTACATGTTCCTCATCCATCCACAGAGCCCGACAAAGGCACCACAAGATTACCCAGACAAGAAGAGCTTACCCCATGTCCACGTGGCTCTCTGGCTGAACAGCCAGGGAGGCAAGAAGGTTGGGGCAGGGGATACTGTCTCCTATGTAGTCTGTGAGGTAAGTGGCTTGTCCTAGGATCAACACTGTCAGAATTAGTATTTCAATGGATGATACACTAGGTTCTGATGTTTGACTCACGTGTGATGGTGGGGGGGGGTCGAATCCATGAAGACAATGGTGCTTGCATTCTTTTGGCAAGTCACTTCTCTGCCGTTGCCTAGTTCCGTACAGACTTCTGAATGTCATGAACTGTGTCAGTATCACAATTTTAACAGTATGCAGGGATTTCAAGCATATCAAGCATATTTTTGAGATTCAAGGTTACTCTGTCATCTCAAGGTGCTTTTCCATAATTCTCATTTTTACGGATATGGAACAGGCTTAAAAAAGTACTTGTTGAAATGTCCCAGCCTGTGATGGAATCTAAACCAGATTTTGCAACTGACATTGGTTCAAATATAACTTCATAATCCCTTTTATCGATATCGAGAATACATTTCTCTCTCAAAGCAAGGATGATCTCAGAATTTTCAGCCTTACATTTCGCGTCTAAAATATTGGAAGTCATCATGATAAACAGGAATTCTAAGACGCCTACTAAATAGCACCCACCATTATGTTTCACTTCTGTGACAGGATGGTTCAGTCCTGCCTGCCAGTCAGCGTGCATACCACCCAGAGGAAGTCCAGAAACAAGACCATTTGAAGGTAGACACCAAGTACTACCTAGCACAGCAGGTTCATCCTGTTGTCTCCAGACTGTGTGATCCTATTGAGGGCACCGATGCTGCCCGCATTGCTGAATGTCTCGGTAAATACAAGATATTACAAATTTCATGTTTCAGATCTGTTGAGATATGAAGCTCATGTGTTAAGCTCGACTTTGTTCAAAGAACAACATATTGTGGGGTTATTTAGACAACATAAATGTGGAGTCCCTAGTGTGACACTTTTTCAGTTTTGCCCAACTTTCTTAAAGTAGTGCTGCAAGATTTAGCTCACATTAGTGATGCCAAGGAATATGGCACTAATTTTGGTTGAAGATTCGCCAAAATGGTGCACTTTATCTCATCTCAATCTCCTAGGTGATCGTTACAGATTTTTTGTATGAATTTCAAGCATTGTGTCTGAAAATAATACTTGTTTGGGGGATTTTTAAAAGAGTGCACTTGTTACCACATGTTAAAGAAATGAGAGACAAAAATAAACTGCCAAACAACATTTACTCTGAAACCTCATTAAATGTCAACCCTACTGCAAATGAATATATATATAAGGTGTTTCTTTCCCTGCTACCAAGGGTTGGACTCTGTGCTGGTCATGGGTCATGTTCAGTGATATTTCTCTATTTGTGTTGTTAAGACATTGATATTGTCAGTCTGTGTTTTCTTTGGACGGCTACATGGGAGGGTGCTAGTGATATGGTTGTCGAGCATCTTCCTTGGCCAGTTGTCCTTGTGCTGGAGATAACCACATTAGCAAAGATAGCCCCCTTTGGACTCTTCACTCACTATTTATAGAAAAATTAATTATGAATCATGTTAAAGTTCATTTTGTCATCTTATTTGATACTTATCTACTTTTATCTATATCTGATCATCCAACTGCGCATTTAGCGCCAATTACAGGGTGATAGTGAGTGAAGAAGACAATGAAGAAATTTTGAGTTTTTAGGGAGGAAAACCCTAGATAAATTTTTGGGGGAAACCCACAGACTCAAGTAGGACTCACAGACCCATGGACTCAAAACCTAATCCACATGTGGACCGAGCCGGATTCGAACCCTGGCCCCCAAAGGTGGAAGGCAAGGAAAGAAACACTAGGCCAACCTGACTCCCCTACCAACAAGATGATGCTCTGGTCACACATAAGCTTTCTTCAGAAAAAGCACCTTATGGCCTAATTTCAAGCATGTCCATTAAAGCAGTTCTGCCCATCGTCATTTCAAACAGTTCACAAAGGATGTGGTTGGCCTAAGGTGCGGCACCTCATTCCAGGGTGATCCTGAGAGACAAAATTAAGGAACTCTTCTTTTTGGTTCCTGCATTGAACCACTACACTGAGTGGCCAAATCAGGTTCCTGGATCTCACTCCTGGTGATTTTTTTTTTAAAGCAAGGTTTACAACTGTCTATCTCAGAATACTGATGACCTTTGTGAGGGAATTGTCACTGCCGTTTAGACGTCAGAGACATCATCAGAAATGTAGTGAGGGCAGTAAGAATCAAATGAGATGATTGTGTGGATTTTTTGGCAGTAGGTTTGGCAAAGATGTTGCTATTCCCACATGGAAGTTCAGCTTATTCAAGACATGGTTTTTGGCCAACTTCTTGTTTGAATTGTCCTCAAACTATGCAACACTGTCAAGCACTTCTTGAGAGTAAAGTCGATTTTTACATTAGCAATGAAGAGAATCCCTGATCTTTAATATATGTGAAACTAATAATTACCTTGTTCCTATCAAAGAAAGTACACACTACGTACCTGAAATTAACATTTGATGATTAATTCTTTACCAAATTTGGCATATGTTTGCTTAATAGGGTTGGACCCGGCAGGTTACCGTCATGCTGTACGTCAACATGATGATGAAACAGATGCCATGTTGGGTGGGGAAGCAGCCATGGCAGACGAGGAGAAATACAAGAATGCTGACCGCTTCAAGTTTGTCTGCCCCAACACAAAATGTGGTCGAGAGAATATCATTGACAGTGTCTTTACTGGTAGTGTAAGTATGGATGAGAACTCTGTCAATAGTAGACTGAACACCCTTCGGTTGAGGGCTCCTAACCATCATTTTCATGACATTGTTATAGTTAGTAAACCGGAAATATTTTAAATGTGTTTTTTTTTTTACTTTGTTCATTTGTCACAAATACATCTGAATGGGGGTTGAAATAAGCAAAGAAAGGCTGATGAATATCTTGTGGCTTTTTAGACTGTTAGTGTGATGTGCATGTTCTGAGACTAAGCTTTTGTGAAGCAGTTGCAAGTATTTGTGAAGTACGCGACAGTGCTGCTGACAGCAATAAAAACTCTGCTTGGAAAGTGTGTTTCACTGTGAAGCTTCTGTCTTCTAATGTGGACATTGGCAAATGAGGTATACTGTTCACAGTGCACAAAAAGTTGAAACATGTAGTGAGTCAAGTAATGAACAAAAATCACCCCAAAATGAGCAAAAATGGATGCATAGCCACCCCTTGCTGTTCTATCAGAACTAACTCATAAATGATAGCATTGTGTGATATAGCCTCACACAGGGGCTGATCTTCACGAAGAAACCAATTCTTGTCATTAAGGGACTTTACAGCATTATAATGCTGTAATGGAAAATGTTCTTTGTAGAGATAAGCTACTGGGATTGCCGTGTTTAAACTCATAATGATTGTAATTTTGGGATGAAGACTTATGACATTACATCCAGAATGTACAATCTTTCATTGTATCCATTGAAAAGTTGAAGGTTTCTGAGTTATTACGTGTATTTATTTAAAACAGGTTTGTTTAGTACAGATATCTGTATTTTCCTTTATTTAACCAAAGCTCCCAAGGGTGTATGTAAAATCATATTGTAATTGGAGGATTTGGGGCTGTTAGGGTTAATTAATGAAATCTGATCACCACCCCTGGGTCATGTAAACAGTTTTATTCATTTTATGGCCTCACCATGAAATTCAAGATTGAATATCTTTCCCAGCTGATCTCTGCCATTGTCGGTGCAAAGACATGTTAACTGAATTCTGCTGACTGTTTGTTGTGTTTTTGTGATTTGCCACAGGACAAGTTGATATCTTGTAGCCTAGCTCAGTGCACCAACCCTGAATGCAAGACGGTCTTGTCCAATCACTGGTCTCTTATGTGTAATCGTCTCAACCAGCTCATTAGGGGATATATACAGAAGTACTATGCTGTAAGTTGGGCAGCAATAAATTAGTGGAATGATGCAGTATCTTTTCATAGTATGTGAATCTTAATTGTTTATTGCCAATAACTGTTGTTTTTGGTTTCAGTCTGATTTTTCAAGGCTCTGTAACAGGCTTTGAATTTTGTTATTTTTAGGGCAAGGCCACTTTGGCGTTGAATTAAGCAAGATTATAGAGGGCATCAAGGCCAATTGGAAGGACATCAAGGCCAGATAAAATCTGTAACGGGCATGGAGGCTTTATGCCAATATTAGTCCTAACAGTCCTCCATCAAAAACTCAAAAAAGAAATCAAATTTCCATTTCAGTTTAAGTCAACTACTTTAATCACTCTTTTGTGCAGCATTTTTCTCCAGTTGTCCTTTCTTGCAGCCACTAGTGCGAATTAATTCATTTATGAAAAACTTACGACGATCACAACATACTCTGCACATTCGCGTGCACACATTCCTCGTATACAGACCTCAATGTGAATTAATGTGAATTGTGTATCACACTTACAAGCACTGAGAAAGAGAAAGGCAGGTGACTCTTCATGTAAAATCTGCCACACATACTCCTGCTGGAATGTGAGGGTACAAATAGAGGCATATGTGTGTAAGACATGCTGCCAGTTTATTTTGATATTGAGCCGTACAAAAAAGACTGATGTTCTTCATGAACAAAAGTATAGTTGCCACAGTTGGCATAATTGAGGGGTGTCCCAAGCAAATGGATTCCAAACTCCGAGTTTTGTGTATATCACAGCATGCTCAATGAAAATATAGCACAGGAGGCTAGTGCATAAAGTGCTGTCCTATCTCCATCCCTGGTCATAACTCCATAAGTTGGCTCTCTTCTGTGCCATTAGGGATATCTCTTGGTTCTCCGTTTTTCTCTCTCTGAAAAAAAAAACACCATCTCTAGTTGTGTACTGCGGGTGGATGTGGGTCCTTTGACAGCTTTTATTCTTTACATGCCTTTGGCTTAACCATGTTGTAGTTCAACATGATATCCACTGACAGCCAGTGTTAAACTATCTTCAAGATGAATGAGATAAAACATAGGAACTCATGTTGCCAGACAATATTCAATTTGAAAACGTCAAACCAGTTTTTACCATGTGAGTAAAGTTTGTTTGTCCACTTTCGTACTATGGTAAGTGGTACACTAGTTACGCAGCTTTTAGCAATTTATTCCATGTAATGAGTTTACTTCTCAGCAAAAGCATGGTCACAGTCTTGCTTATGAATTAATGTAAATAAGCAAATGGTCTTGCTTGGGAATTATGCAAAAGCTTCAAGATTCAATGTCCCTCTTCTTGATGGGAACTGTTCTCACTCCAGGGCTGGATGGTGTGCGAGGATACTTCATGTGCACACAAGACGCGAAGAACCCCTCTGAATCCTCAACGGCAAGGCTTTATGTGCCCAGTTTGCCAAAGGGCTGTTCTGAAGCCAGAGGTAAAGGGTTTGCTGTGTTTGTCAATGTTCTGTCTTTCTTTGATGTGGGACCATTTGCCAAGGTGTGAGGCTTCAAAATGTTGAAATGGCTTTTGTGATGTATTAAAGAATTACTCATTATGACCTTTTGTTTTTATGCGATCTGTGAAATGTTGTTTCAAATGTAAGCAAAAGAAAAGTGGTGGGATGCCGATAAAAGGTCAGTTTTTGACTTGAGGAATGAGAATCCCACTTTTGTACTATTCTGATTTGGAATTTCCCAAGACTATTCAGTTTTATCATGTTTGTGAGATTTTTGTGGTACATCTGTAGAATTATTGGAAGCTGCACTGCAAAATGAGTCAGGCATGCAACTTTTCCTCGGATCAGCTGATTTCTTCATTTTTCACTTCACACTGATGACATTGAAAATTGAAAAACACTGTACAAAGTTCAAGTTGCATGCCTGATTAGTAGATAAAATGAAGATATAAGTTAAGCTGAATGTAAAAATAAACATGCCATCTTTTTACAAAAGATGCCGCCATTTAATATGAGCAATAATTTCCAATAGGAGGAAAATATAATAATAATATATTTTGGGTAAGGGCAAACCCGTTATATATAATTAACATCTCCCCAACGCAAAAATACATCTTGAAAATTATAATAATGGTTTGCGTATTTTTCTTGTGTTCCATTGCAGTATACTGACAAGGACCTTTACTACCAGCTGTCTTTCTTCCAGTCTATCTTTGATGTCGACAGAGCCATGAAAAGACTCTCAGAAAGTGAAAAATGTAAGAAACACTTTTATGAGAAGCAATTTTTTCAGTATCTCTTGAACCTTATCCTTGTAGTCTCCTAGATAATAAATGTCCAATTTCTTGTAGAAACATTGCTGTTATACCCATTGTAATAATCCCCTTCGTCTGATGTCTATAGGCCAACAGGTTTTTTATCTTTGTTATTTAGTTATCATTCTCAGTTTGATTACAAGTTTATTACTCATTTGATGGCTTTTTGTTTGGTGTTGGTTCTTTTGTTTGAGGGTACTTGGAGCGGACTGTCTTGAGGAATTTGTCATTGAAGCATCTTGTCGGTTCATTTTATTCACTCGTACCATTCCACATTCTTTGGCCATCCTAGTTGGTCCACAGATATTAAGATAACTCAATATTAGGCAGACTCCTAAAAGACTAATATTAGCTTAATAATCAATTCATCACATGGTGAGAACAATACTTTTGTGATCATTTTTGGTCTGCCCAGTTCCTTTGCAAGCATCTCAGCTCTAACCAACTTAGTGATTGTGTGGTTTGAAGTGCACTTGGTTCGTGCCTACAGTGGCTTACCTGCACCAGTACCTGTATAATTGTTTGAAGTGTGCTCTTTATGAAAATATTCTAATCAATCATTGAGAAGGAAGTTGGGTTGAAATGGAGGAACGAGAGCACTTTCCATTTTTTCCGTAAACAATTTGTTTACAAATCATTGAAATGTAACTACACATAATAAAATTGGACTGCCCCAAAGGAGCTTTACACATCAAAGAATGCATCAGGGAAAACCAACAGGTTCACCAGAAATCAATTTGCATTTGGAAAAGGGCAACAAATAGTAGCAAACTTCCAACTTGTTACACCCAGAATACCGTACTGACAACATCCAAGTTTACCTATTCACCCTTTTCTTAACAGCCTCCAAATTGTTTAATCATACTTTTTCCCGTTCCACTGCAGCTTTTGCTAACATGGCTGTTAGAGATCATCTTGACAGCTACTCCCGCCTCAGAAATTTCATGGACAAGAAACTCAGGCAGAATAAATACTCTGAGGTTGACCTGAGCAGACTCTTCTCAGGCCTGAGCTCTATGGTTTTGGGCAACACCGTCAAGAGAGAGTAAAGGTTAAGGTTGAGTGCTTTGTCCAAGTGGCTGTCATCCAATTTTGCAAATGAATAATTTGATAAAGGACATCAGCGGATGCTGCAGGTATTACGCCGAGTGGTAGCCTTTCAAGTTTTGACACACAGTATTACTGCTGTGACATTTCATATGAGGTATTTTACTTCACTGGTAATATTTCTGTGAAGTGTCACATACCCTTGCAAATTTCTCTGGAAAAATAAACATGTCCAAAATATCCTGATGAGGTAAGGAATCAGAAATCCAAAACATACTGACACCTTTTGCTCTACATTGCTCAAATTGCTGTAGAAAACATATTGAAAAATGTTCAGCATCATGTTGCCTGGGACAAATATTGAAAGTAAACGAGTAGTAGTTGTATGATGGGTAGCAGGTCTCACTCTTTAATTGTTACAATGGTCACTGGTATGGAAGACATTTGGTCTTCTCTCATAAATCCTACACATTCATGATATGTTCTGAAATAGAGGGACACTTTCCTCCATAATTGATCTCATAATTTACGCCCAATTTTGGAGGTGCTCACAGTAGGACGACAAACCTTCAATCTCAAATGGTATACCCGATTTTAGTTCTGTGAGCTTTTATGAGTCTAACTGAACAATTTCCCATAGCGAACCAGTTTGGTATTCCAACAGTGCACGCTCAGTGAGAGGCTATTCGGGAACAGCCACACACAATAGTCCGTTCTATAAGTGCAGCCATACGCTGAATCATTCGCACTTTGTTCCTGAGAGAGCTTCGCGTTTTGAAATACTGAACATGCTCATTAAGTTTATCAATTTATGAATAACAAGACTTTGTAATGATGTCTTGGCATCTATATGGGTTGGAGATGGCAAAGTTTTAAAGTTCCAGTTTTGGTTCCTTTGAAGATAGGAACATATATGTTCTTGATAAATCACTAACTGTTTAACTCAAATTTGAGACAAACGTCTTTTTGGCGTAAGTGCATTTTGGTTTCTCTAAACTGTATACGAATGCTTTTTCATAAATGTAAAGAGCAGCACTTGAAGAAAGTTGGTGAAACGGATTAAAAGGGGTTTGAAACTAATGAATATATGAATATGCCATTTTGCAAACGATGTACGCTTTTGTACAATGTATGTCCGTTTAGTTTTTGTTTGTGTTTTGTTTTTTTGTGTTATTTTTGTTTTTTTCATTCGAGATCAGTGTCGCCTCCTTGTTTTGCCTTTGCAGTTCCTGTTACAAGTAGAAACGTAGAGGCCAGTGCAACTGTTCACATATCTCAAGTTATTTATGAATTCTGTACTGTCATGATAGGACAAAAGAGATAGTACAATAAAATGACAGTTGTTATTCACATGATAATATTTTTAGAAAGCAAACATTAAAAGAGTTATGCAAACGACGGTTGAAGACATTCTGAATATAGCAACAGCCTAGATATTCACATTTCATGTGTCAAGAAAGAAAAATGAAGCAGATTGTATGTATTTTACTGTAATCAAATCGTAAGTGTTCACTTGTAGAGAGATGGTTTTTACCTCATTTTTGACCTTGGGGGAAAATCGTTCACGAATTTAGAAAATAGAACATGTTTCTACAGGCATGTCTGTTTCCGCATAAGACTAAAATGACACTGTTTTATTCATTATTCCCCCAAACAATGATTTTGGTACAAATTTATTCAAGTTTTCTTATAGTGTAAAATGTAATCACTGAAGCTGCTGATAAGGATTCAAAAGTTTGAAATAAATGTTTTATTCTCAATCCCGTCGTCGTTCGTGCGTCTTATCTTAATTTTCAAATATTTTAATGCTCAGCTACGGAGCTCTGGAAGTGCCATGCGACATGTTGACATCCTGATATATTGTTTCTTGGGATAATGATGTGATATAGGCAAGATGTTCACAACCGAGCTAATTTATCTCGAGATGATGACATCTTAAAAGTTGGATGTCGACATCCTGGGATAATTTATCGTGGGAAGACAACATTGTATAAACAATTGGATGACGACATCCTGAAATAATTTAGCATGGGATGACGACATCGTAAAAGGGTAGACATCACACTTACTGGATGT